ATCAACCATGATTTCAAATCAACCATTTCAAATAGTAAATTCCGCATCAAAACTCTTTAAATCAATCCAACATACTTATAAAATAAAATTCCTTTAAACATAATAAATTAAATAATTCAAACTATTCAAAACATGATTTAAAAACCGGTTATTTCATGAAATGCCACTGAGCAATTGCAAAATTCACCAAATGCCATGAACCTTTTCAAAATTCACCAAATGCCACTGAGTTTTAAAAAAATGCACAGAGTGCCACTAATGACTAACAGCCGTTAGTTGACCCCATCACTTGCCACGTGTCATCTTCTGATTGGTCTGTTTTTTAAAATTTAAAAAAATAACAAAAATTTAAAAAAAAGGAACTCAGAGGTGGCCAGCCACCACCTCCTCCCCGCCGTCGAGCCCCCTGCCCACCACCCCCTGCCGCCGTGGCTAGAACTGGAAGGGGCGCCGGCTGCCGGCGACCCCTCTCGTTCCCCTCCCCTATCCCGTCGCGACTCCCTAACCCGTGAAACCCCACCCCCCTTCTTCCACCACCCCGAAACCCCTCCGCTAACCTCAAATTTTTCGTTCAATTTTTTTAGTAAATTCCAGAGTTCTACTCTTTAATCGCTTAATCTTATATTAGTTAACCTGGAATGATAACTATTGTGCCGATATGCTTAGTTCGTCAGATTTTTTTTAGCGAGTTCGTCTAATTTAAATAATCGCGATGAATGCTTAATTCGTCCAAATTATTCGCAATTTTTGGCGCATAACACTTAACATTCAGAAATTATCTTTCACTAGTGATTGCACATGGAATCAATGCTGGAGATGTTAAGAAGCTTTAAGATGCTGGAATATACACTTGTAATGGCTTGATGATGCAGACGAAGAAGGGGTGGGGTTTCGCGGGTTAGGGGGTCGCGACGGGATAGGGGAGGGGAAGGGGAGGGGTCGCCGGCGGTCGGTGCGCCTTCCGGTGCTAACCACGGCGGCAGGGGGTGGTGGCGGCTAGGGTTTTGGGGTAGGCAGGGGGCTCAACGGCAGGGAGGAGGTGGTGGCTGGCCACCTCTGAGTTATTTTTTTTTTTAATTTTTTTGTTGTTTTTTGTTTAATTTTATTTTTAGTTTTTGTTTAAATTTTTTTTTATTTTAATAAACAGACCAATCAGAAGTTAACACGTGGCAAGTGATGGGGTCAACTAACGTTCAACTAATGGTTGTAAGTCATTAATGGCACTTGGTGAATTTTTTTAAAACTCGGTGGCATTTGATGAATTTTGAAAAGGTTCATGGCATTTGGTGAATTTTGCAATTGCTCAATGGCATTTCATGAAATAGCCGTTTAAAAATCTATTCTAAAAAAAAATTAATTTTCAAGATTATTTCATAAGTCATAATATTCAATTTAATTCAATCATCAATAAAAATCACATGAAATATGCTATTTGAATCAATCACTTTTAAAGGTATTTAGCCACCTAAACGTACCTTGCTTCCTTGCTTAACAAACATAAAATAACCTCAAGCACTCTTGTTAAAAACATCATACAATTAAATATAACCTTAATCAATATAAGGTCATCTAATAATCACAACAATAAAATAAACGACTATTTCACCAAATGCCACTGAGTAATTGCGAAATTCACCAAATGTCATTCGACTTTTCAAAAGTCACCTAATGCCACTGACAACTAGCATATTAACACCCCGTGCCATTAATGATGTCTGGCAGTTAGATGGCCGTTAATGCAAAAATACCATTTTACCCTTTGAAGTGTTTAATGGCGCCATAAGCACGTTGACTTTATGACTTCTCAATTTTCACGTATTAATGTTGTTCACCAACCTGGTTCTTCCTTAACTTCTCCCCTGTTCTTCGAACTTTCACCATCATTGAAACCTTCAAATCTGTGGACAAGGAAGAAGCGTTCTGTGACCACTGAACAACGACCCTCGCAACAAGTTTAAGCTTTTGGTTTTGTTGATTCTGGGCGAACCAAAAAGCGCTCACAAGTAGTTGAACAGGTTGAAGGAAGTCGTGAGGCAGAATTTTTTTTTGAGGGCTTGGAGATAGCACGCAAGGTAATAATCTCCCTATCGATCTTCATTTCGCGTATTGAATTTGTTTTTTTTTTCGAAAATTGAGTTAGGGTTAGGGTTTTCTCAAATGAATAGTGCAATGTGTATATTTGAATTGACCTTTGTGAATTATTGTTAAAAATCATGTTCAAAACCGCAATTGTGGGTATGAATGTGTTTTGGTATGTTAAAGTTTGTGTTTTTCACAGTATATGGGTCCTTGAAATGTAATTTTGTGAGTTGATCAAGATATTTGGCTTGATATGTGTTTGTTGATATGACTGATGTGTGTTTATGTTCATAAAAGTAATAAGTCATTTGTTGTTCATAGGATGAGTATAGTGTGGCTTGATGTTCATTACAAAGATCAGGGGTTTGATGTGATGATTGAGGATACTGACAGAACTAGTCTACTGGACTTGTATGAGTACATGTTTAAGGATTCTGAAAAGCAAAATGTGATCATCCCTAAATACTTTAGTTTGTCTATAATGCCACCTAGAACTAATAGGAAGTTTGAGTTAAGTGGGGATAGTCAAATGGTGAAAATGTGGGAGCGGTATGAAGGTAGGGAAACCATAGAACTGTTCTTAGAGGAGAAGGATAGTCCTACTTTGGTGTTTAAGGATGTTGCAGCAAGTTGGGAAAAAAAAGTTAAGGCAATGGCTGAGAAGGAGAGAATAGATCAGGAAAAGGCCAAGAGGATGGCTAAAGAAGAGGATGTTGAGAGGGAGCTTATGGAACAACAACGTTTTAAAGTTGCAGTTGAGGTTCCTATTGTTGATGCTGATGACTCATATGTTGAGTATGTAAGAGTGTTTGCCACTCCAGTAGCTGATGAGGTTTTCCCTGGGGCATCACAGCCTGAGCCTGAACAAAGTACACAACCCTCAACTCCACCGAAACACTCTTAACCAGCCTCTCCTATGAACCAGCCCAAAAGCACATGTTCTAGGAAGAAAATGACTCCTAGGAAAAATAAAACCACACCCAAAAAAAGAAGATCCCAACCTTCTCCTCAACCACAAACATCCCCACCTTCCCCCAAACCACATACATCCCCACCTTCTACTGAACCAACACCAGTCCCACCACCATTTGCTTCTGAACAACAGACAACACCAGTTCAAAATCAACCTCAACCTCCACCATCTGCACCAGCAAAAAAGGCAGGTAGATCAAGACTTGAGGGATTTAGGTCAAAATAGAGTGCTTCTAGAAAGGCTAATGCTGAGGGGGGTTAGTGTTACTTTGAGGAGATCACAGAGGAACAAAGCTTCAAATGTTCATGTAAGTGAAGACAAGTCTGATGAGTCTGGTAGTGACAGTGAAGATGATGACTATATACAATCTGATAGTGAAGAAGAGGATGATGAGGCAGATATCTGTGATTTCATAGAGGATGAAACAGAAACAGATGCCCTTCATGATGACATTCCTGAGAAGCAGTTTCATGATTACCTTGATGGCAGTTCAACCATGGACAAAACATATAAGAATGGTAAAATTTGGACCAATCAGGAGTTTGGATCTATTACATTAGAGCCATGGTTGATATTTGGAGACAGACAGTCATTTCTTGATGTGTTTAAGGACTACTGTGTACAGGAAGGGTTTGGTGTTTATGTTGAAAAGAGTGACTCAACAAGATTGATAGCAAGGTGTGCTATAGATACATGCAACTAGAGGATTCATGCCTCCACAATGAGAGACAAGGTTAGCTGGGCAATCAAGACTCTGACAGGGGAGCATAGCAGTTGTTGGAGGTTGGAAAGAAACCCAATAGTGAGTTCTCAGTGGCTATGTAGGCATCTTTAGTCAGACATTCAAGCCAATCCTGATATTCCAGTTAAGTCTTTGCAGAGACTCTGTATGGAAAGGTTTAGGCTTGATGTCAAGAAAAGGCTGTTGTACAAGGTCAGGGCAATGTTCAAGGAGGTCATCCATGGTGGTTTTGGAGAAGCATACTTATTGTTGCAAGGTATGCTAAAGTGGTGAAAGAGACCAACCCAAGTAGTTATGCTGTTGTGACATGGGGAGAGGGTGCAACAACTAAGCCTCCAAGATTCAAGGCTTGTTTTTTTTTCATATGCTACCCAAGTTAGGGGATTCTTGAGAGGTTGTAGACCATTCATTGGCATTGATGGAGCCCACCTAAGTGGACATTTCAAGGGAATATTGTTAACTGCAGTTGGGATTGATGGGAACAATGAGATTTTTCTCATTGCATATAGAGTGGTTGGTTCTGAGAGTATTGACAGCTGGGGCTATTTTCTGAGGAATTTGAGATGCCTATTTGAGAAAGAAGGTTGCAGGAGAGATGAAGGTCCAATCATCTCTGACAGAATGAAGGTCAGCCACCTTGAAACTATTTTATTACATGTCACTTACTGTTTTGTTTCTTATGTTCAAATCTCAGCCATGAAACTATTTTGTCTGCAGGGGGTTGACACAGCAATTTATGAAGCATTCCCCACAGCAACTAGAAGAGTATGTTGCCAGCACTTGTATATGAACTGCAAGGCCAATGGATTTAGTGGTTCAGCCTTCCATAAGCTTTTCTGGATAGCAGCTGATGCACACAATGAGTATGTATTCAATAAAGCAATGCAAAAGATTCAAGAGTACAATCCTAAGGTTGTTGAATACTTAGAGAGCTGCACTGAGATCTGGTCAAGGCATAAGTTTGATCCTGCTCTGTTGTGACCATAACACAACAAATTTTATTGAGTTTTTCAACTCATGCACCAAGCCATACAAAGATCTACCTATTGTGAAAATACTTGAAGGTAGTCACTTCCACATAATAACAACTTGCATTAAGACAATTTCCCTCTTTGTTGTTTACATTATGTTTTTGCATTCTGTTTTACAGCTACAAGGCAATGGAGCATGAAGAGGATTGGCTCAAGGTTTGACAAAGCACTAAGCATGGGGGATATGGAGCTGACTGAGTATGCAACCAAGATTCTGCAAACAAGATCAGATGAGTCTAGGTTTTGCTATACAATTCCATGTGGTCGGGATGAATTTGAGGTGAGAGACCAACATGTGCATTTTCCCATCAAGCTGAACACTGGAATTTGTAGTTGTGGGAAGTGGCAGCATTCAGGTCTGCCATACAAACATGCACTAAGGGTGATTTACCACCAGAGGCTGCAACCTGCAGACTTTGTTGCACCCTGTTTCAAAGGGAAGGCATACAAGCTAACTTATGCAGAGCATATGCTCCATATGCCTGACCCATCTCAATGGACATCAGGGAACCTACCTAACATACTGCCACTATTGGTGAAAAGAGCTGCAGGGAGACCAAAGAAGCAAAGAAGAAGAGGGCCAAATGAAGCAAGGAAAGGGAAGAGGCATGCAACAGTTAAGTGCAGATTATGCAGTGTGTTGGGGCACAACATGTTGACTTGTGCATCAAGAAAAAAAAACCCCTGCAACTGAAGCAAGCACATCAGCCACCTCCTCTCAACCCAAGAAGAAAAGAAAGAGAGCAGCATGAATGCACAACCACTCCTGTTTTTAATGCACAACCAGTATATCCATGTAATTTTTGAACATTCAAAGTGTAGTGTGTGCTGTTTTGTCTAGTTTCTTTTGACTAAAAACTTGTAACTAAACAGGTAGAAATCTTTTAAGGACATAATTTGAACAACAAGCAATATTTTGGGGACATAATTTACTTTATTTCCTTCTTTATTCAATTTTATTGCAATTTCAGTAGTTCATTTCATCATTACAATCACCACTGCTACACACATCAGTACCCCTAATTTCATAATACAATTGAGGACTTTCTGCTGCTGCTTGATTTTCTTCTTCAACGGTTTCAATTCTTCATGCACATTGTTTTGTCCTGAGCTATCCCTTGCATAACAGCTTCCTCTGCTCTGACTTTCCATGCTATGACCTTCTTCATGCATCTAAACCTTGCACCATTTGAAGCTATCACATGAATCACACTTATAATATAGCCTTTGTGGATTAGATGTTGAATATGAGCTTCTAATTGCATATTTTCTACCACAATTGCAAAATTTATTTGGAACCTTCACATATGCATACTCATGTTTTGAAGAGGATGTGTTTGACATGAAGTTCATGATTATGCAAAAAACATCAGCTATGTGAGTTTTAGTGTACTGTATATATAACAAATTGGGTGCAACGGCTAGATTTGCCCAAAAAAATTTAAAAAAATGTCAACCAAACTAGCCGTTACACTTGATATGTTTACAGGTATTTTGTGTAAAAATTTACAAAAGTAATGCCATTTGGTGAAATATATAGACTTTTCAATGGCATTTCATGAAATAAGATTTGCATTAACGGCCATCTAACTACAAGACATCATTAATGGCACGGGGTGTTAATATGCTATTTGTCAGTGGCATTTGGTGAATTTTGAAAAGTTGGATGGCATTTGGTGAAATTCGCAATTACTCAGTGGCATTTGGTGAAATAGCTGTAAAATAAAACTCTCAACTCTATGTACATGAACCTTAAAAATATTCTTTCCACAAACTTGAATAATAATAATAATAATATGATTTTAATTAATTCAGAACATTAATAATAATTTTTGTAAAAACTAATAATATTAATTTAATTAATTAAGAGAAGAGAAGAATAGATTGAAAACCGAATTGAAGGAGGAAAAAGAAGAAGAGGCACGACACTACGACAATGGCAGCAGCTCGTCGGCAAGTGGCTGCTGGTGGTTGGAGGTAGTGGCTGGCGTCGGTGGTCGACAGGTGGTGGTGGCAGCCGATGGTTTGGGGTGGTGGTTTGCACAAAAAACCGAGAGAGAAGAGGAGAGAAAACTGTGAGAGATTAAGAGAGAAAGAAGAGGGTTTTGGTGTGAGTTTTGGTTATGATGCAAGGGGTATTTATAGGCTTGAGCATGTAAGAATTAAGGCAATGTAGGAAAAATTATAATAAATTTGGTTTAAGGAATTACATGGAAAAAAGAGTTTAGGAATTTAGGAAAGTTTAGTTTATGGTGATTAAATTAAGAAATAAAGAATTAAGGTAAGTAGCTAGCTTAATCATGAAATATATAAAATGGTAAGTAAGCTTTGCTTAGGGAATAATTAAGAAGGATTTAAGGTAATTAGATTGTATGATCATATATTTATGAGAAGGGAATTAGGAATTAAGGAAATAAGGAAATTTAAGGAAGATAATTAGAATACAAAACTACTAAAATAATTAACCCTAAAATCCCATATGGTGGCCGAAAATATTGAGCCTTCCTATGCTCATTTTTTCGAACCCCAATACTAGTTTTTAGGAATTATTTTGCTAGATTTTAAGGATTAAAAATGATTTTGTAAATAATATATTTTGTAGAAAATAATTAATTAGAAAATATCATCTTAAAACTAACTTAATTAACCAAGAAAAATAAGATTTCTACACTTAGAAAATCCAAAATTACTAGCTAGTTAATTGGGATTTTCGGCCCTTTTAAATTTAATAAGGAAATAAAATTTGGTTTACTTAAAATATCTGAAATATATATGTAATTCGATTTTTATTAAAATAAAGTAAATGGATGATAAATCTTATCCAAAATTCAAAATAATAACTTAGTTTTGAAAATGTTTTTGGCGCCAAAATTTAAATATCATTTTGGCTCCAAAATTCAAATAGTGAAATAACTTACTAAAATACCCTTTTAAAAAATATTAATTAATTAATTAGAAAATACGTCTCAAAAATATGGGGTATTACATTTTCCTTGATCAGTTTCCCACTGAGGAAACACATGAATGAGGTGTTCATAACTTTCACACTTACTAAAGCTCTCGGGATCTCGTTTGGAATTTGATACTTTCTTTCTCGAGTTTTCGCCTTTTTGGTTTCTAGTTTTAAGAATTTTATAGAACCTCCTAAACTTTCTAACCAACACGACAACTTTTTCTTCATCGGACTCTGAATCTTCTTATTCCTCAACCCTAAGATCAAGTCCACGAGTTTTCGAACTCTCCGTGTTACTTGCTCCAATTAAGGATGCTCATAAGTCATGAGAGATCCAGCCACTTGCTCAATATTAAATTTGGTGAAATCCTTTGTTTCTTGCAATGCAGTAACCCTGGCTCTCCATTTCTCATCTTGTTGAAGACTCCTTAGTATATTTTGAACTAATCTATTAGTATAGTTTTTCAAAGAGATACTAACTCATTAGTTATGTGAGTAAAATGAGTAAACATTTTTTGAATAGATTCTTTTGGATTCATTTCAAAACCTTCATACTTAGACATCAAAAGATTTATTTTGGAATGCTTAAGAACTTCATTTGTTCTTTCAAAGTGACTTGCAACCCATATCTGCATTGCGTTCTTGCAACCCATGACTCGATTATGTTCATGGGGTCCAAGACCGCAGTAGAGTAGTTTTGTTGCTCTAGAATTAACCTCCATTTTTTCTTATAATCGTCTTTAATATACCCAAAGATTGGTTTAGGAATTACCTTATTTTCGGCATTGGTCGTTGTTACCTCATTAATCACCATTTTTGATATAACTCGCCACACTTAATAGTTTTCTACTTTGATGAAGATTTCCATGCGGTTCTTCTAGTAGGAACAGAATTTGAAGTTCAACATCGAAGGTCTTGGTGTAGAGTAACATTCTTCAAGTTTCTCGTGTGTGTTCATTTTCTGGATCTCAACTCAATAGGGTTGCCTGATTTCTTAGAGTAACCGGCTTTGATACCACGAGTTAACTAAGTTAGAACATACAAGTGGGGGGGATGAATTGTGTAGGAACTAGTGTTCCTAAATTTTGGGAAAATTAAAACATAGAACGAAATAAAGAGATGCAAAGAGATTTTTGGTTATAGTGCTGGATTTCTAACTAGGGTCTAAGGGGATTAGTTTGAAACTCTATTGGTGTAAATGTGTAATACTTGTTGTTTAAAGATATACACTTCATGCATTATATAACTATAAAGTGGAGTAATTGGAATCACAAACACAAAGCAGTCACCCTTGCCTTTGAGGCAGAATTTAAAACAATCAAAGAAAGCTTTTTGGGTGAGTATTTTTGGGAGCGTTAATCATATTATTTTGGTGTACTACTCTCAATGACCAGCACGATGCTCAAACTCAAATCTATTACCACTGCTATGTCATAAGCCCTAGATTGTTTGTAGGGGAAGCTGTGTTATGCTTACTTAGAACTATCTTCAGTATCTTGTACTATTTAAGTCTTTTACGCAGAAACTCTACTGTGTTTGTGCAAAACTACAAATAAACATTCATTGTGTAATTTTTTCCTTTTCCTATTTCGAATAATTTGTACGATTAAATTAATATGTAGACAAGGATATTATACATTCAACTTAACCTTATATATGGTTTCATGTCTATTTTAATAATAAATTATTACATATATGTATAATATTAAAATTGCATAGATGAAGTATTTGTAATTGAGATAGATAGTAATATAACGCAAAAAATAATATCAATTATGTAATATTTTTGGGAATTAGAATGATACTTGTACAATATATGTGCAATATATGCACAATAATAATATAAATTATATCATATATATGTTATATTTGAATAAATTTTGGATTTGTAGTTTATCACTGTGAGTTATGAAATAATTTTGTAGTGTTATGATAAAATATAATGATTGATAAAAAAAAATTAAATTAAATTATTATTATTATTCGTTGTTTTTTTAATCTTTAATTAATTAATTTACTTTTATTGATTGAATTTTTTTTAATTATCAATAATTTATATTTAAGGAAGTAAGGTATATGTACTTTATTCACTAGGCAAAAATTGCTAATCAGCACCGGTTCAAAACCCCCATTTCGCACCAGTTTTGAACTGGTTCTGATTTGAGGGATGCCAAATCCTAAGACTTGCGAAAACTTATTTTTCGCACCGGTTCTTGATGTAAACCGGTGCGAAAAGTCCCCAAAAATATTTTTTTTTAAAAAAAACTTTTAGCACTGGCTCCTTCTTTGAACCGGTGCGAAAAGTGGCCAAAAAAATTAAAAAAAAAACTATTAGCACCGGTTCTTTTCCAAAACCGGTGCCAAAAATGTCCCAAAAAAAATAAAAATAAAAGTTTTATTTTTTTTTTATTTTTGCATTTTTTTCACTTAAATTGATATATAAACACTAACATATATACAAAGTTACATATTTTCATTAAAACTGGACAAGACAGCATTGTAAGTGGATGTAAGGGCTCAAGAACAGCATACTGTTTTAGTGACTATTATTTTTCTTCTGTTTGGCTACTATTCTGTGTTGCTGTCCTGTTCCTAGTCTGAGTTCCAGTAGGAGCTGTCCTGGTCTTGTGCTGGTAGTTACTCTGCTGGCTGCTGTGTTGTTGTGTGTTTAGGTTGACAGGTTGCTCTGTTGTTTGATGTGCTGTTGTTTCTGTTTAGCTACGTTGTTGTGCCTCAGTCCTGTTCAGGCTGGCTGGGCGTCTGTTTAGCTTCTGTGGCTATGTTTCTGCTCTGTTCAGGCTGGCTGGGTGATTGGTTTTGCTTCTGTTTAGGCTGTCTTGTGCTGGTGGTTGCTCTGCTGGCTGCTGTGTTGTTGTGTGTTCAGGCTGACCTGCTGCTCTACTGTTTGTTGTGCTGCTGTTTCTGTTCTGCTGCGCTGCTGTGCCTCTGTCTTGTTTAGGCTGGCTGGGCATCTGTTTGCTTCTGTGGCTGTGTCTCTGTTATGTTCAGGCTGGCTGGGTGACTGGTTTGAGTTCTTGAGCTGCTGTGTTTCTGTTCTGCTCTGGTCAGGCTGTGGTGGGTGTTTGCTGCTCTGTGTAGTGTTGTGTTGCTTGCTGGTTTGGCTGCTTTGGGTCAGGCTGCTATGTTTGCTGGGTTCTGTCCTCTGTAAACCAAATAGCCCAACAAGCAGAAATCAGCTTCTGATCATCAGACACACACACACACACACAAGGAAAACATTGCAATTAGCAGGTGACCAATGTACACGCATGCAACACAAACAGACCAATGTACACTCATGCAACACAAACAATAGACCTATTTCCATGAACCATTATATATGCCAAATTTACAACTTAGAACAGATTTACCAAACCATAATCTTAGTTAAAATTTTAAGTTCAATGGGATCAAAATATACCTATACCATAAAGTCCATAATCAAGAAATCAGTCAAAATATACCCAAACAAATATATACCCACAAAATCAAATTAAATGACAACCAATACAATATTCACAATACATCCACTAAACAAAATACTGAAATTTCAAGATTCAAGTATCAAATACTCAAAAATACTCACAATTCAAATGCTCCGTAAACATATAATTCATTATGTATATTCACAATTTCAAAAGCTCAAATTACAGAAATGAGCAATCTCATAAACTGGTACCTGCAATTGAAGCTATCTTTGATAAATGCAAGAGACGCTTTCTTTCAGACAATGTTAAGTCCGTTTTTCTAGAATCTAGTTCTGTCTCCTTTTCGGAAGCTGAAAACAATCTTTTATCTCCAGAGAGTGCCAAACCATGAAGAGTTTTCGAAGCACCAGAATATTGATGAAGAAAAATTTCATGAAGCCACAGAAGATCTGGGTGATCCTTCAAAGATATAAGATGAAGAAATAAATATATATATATATAAAAAAAAGTCCCCTTAAAAAATTCTCTTTTGCTATTCTTTTGCACTCACCCACTGTTTCTATTATTAGACCTCTCTCTTCTGCCTTTGGATTTCCTCGATTAGTAACAGTGTATCTTATTAAAATGAAAAAGGAGCATATAGAAAGTTTGAAATGCTAGATGTACTTCAGAAAGATTGATTGTCCACTAGGCTAGTAAACAAGTAACAAAATGTTGAGGAATAGAATGAAAATTATGTAGTTAGAAAAACATACTGAGATAGTCAATACATAGAGTAGCGTGCAAGGGTAATTGAGCCACAATAATTCTCTAGATTTAAAGTTACACTTTGAATGACATAATTACATTTTTTAAACAATAAAAGTAAAAAAAATTAAAAATGAATAAATAAAGTAGCAAGAATTTCCTTTGAATTAGATATAAATAAATTAACGATAGAAAAAGAGCATCCCACTCGGCTACTTCTAACAAAGCATAATCATGGTGAAATTTTGCCATAGATACCTTTTAGATTAGGAAATTTTTTAGCAATGGAAATATTAAGAAGCAAAAGGAAGTACTGCAAAAGATGCAAAGATTCAACAATTTAACACAAAATTTTCCACTTTACCAGAATAAAGACCATACCATAAGCTCTTTAAGAAGATTGGAATCATTGAGGTCACAACAAATGTTCCAAAAAGTCTGATAGGCTTCATGCCGCCTTGCAACAGACAACAAATTTGATGACAATTCTTTAAGAGCAACTTCTTTCTGTTCTTCTTCATCAGCTGAATCCTACAAAATTCAAAGTTATACAATATTAAATCTGCAGTCTTGACACTGAACAATTTCCAAAAGAGGAGGTGTGTGTGTCTTGACACTAAACAATTTCATTCAATAAAGCCCATTCCAATCCCATTGCTGTCCAGCTTACACATCAAAGTTTAATTTATAAACTCCTTCACTCGTGGCACCATCCACTTCGTCCCCTCCACAGCTCCACTCCACTCATTCACTCAAGCTCACTGCTCACAGGCTCACAGCCTCACAGGGAGTCACAGGCACCCAAGAACATACCACAATAACCAGCTGAGAGATGGGTAAAAATATTGATGAATAAGTTAAAGGTGGGAAGATACAATAGGTATCAATACCTAACAACAAGGTCAACAACCAAACCCACACATAACAAAGACAAGCAAAGTGAAGCATACAAAGTGTGGTTAACAAAATTTGGGAACTAAACAAAGACTAAGGCCTTGTTTAGTTCAACTTATTTTTACTTATTTCAGAAAAAATAAGTTCAGATCAGAAAAAATAAGTTCAGATCACAACATCGTTTTATGTGCGGTTTTTTATCATTAAATATTCTTAATTTCGTAATGAAAAACATTGTGAAAATTACATATTAGTAAACTACACATTATTACGAATCTAACAAGATCCCACTCGATGTATTTTTTCCTTATAGATTATCGTACACTTAAGGTTAAAGTTTGGTCAAATTAGAAAATCAGATCAGATCAGACCAGACCAGACCAGACCAGGTTAGATCAGTAAAAATAAGGTGAACCAAACAAGGCCTAAGTATCCATAAAAAATGGGGGAAACAAAAAAATCTGTAATTATAGAGAAGGGTCAACTAAAGTTTAGATAACTAGTTGCAAAATGCATCAACAAAATAATTAATGTAAAAAATGATCAGTAAAGTTTACCATCTAACCATTATCACCTTTATGAACAAAATCATGAATATCAATATACGAAACAAGGAGTACATCTTTAAGAATCAAGCTTAATAAAGCACCCAATTTACTATTACAATAAATATCTCAAACTTGATAATACTACCCAACTGTCAAATAATGAATCACTAAGAAGGGGAGGAAAAAAAAACTGACTAAGAAATCTGGGGTTTATTAACCGGGAATTAATCGAAAACAAAGATTTCCGAGCATAGTTAACAGGATAAAGGTGTATAGCAGCATTTATTAGCAAGCCAAAGAATTTAGCCCTAACCCTAAAACCCTCAAAAATCAACAAATTAAAATCTTTAATAACAAAATTATGAAATCATCAACAATAATAATATTCAGATTATAAAACCAAATCAACCAACAATATTATGAAAAAAATAGGGTAAAGGAGAAGATATTATTGCTCATCACCATGAAGACGGTGGTAGACGATTTTCGATTAAGTTATTAACACAAATACACAATAACACTCAAAATCTAACCTTAGAGACTACTTCAAGCCTTCTAAGCCTTCAATGGAGGAAACGAGGAGAGAAAGCTCAGAAAGTCAGAACTCAGAAGCCGCTTCAATGGAGAATTTCGAGTACGCTCCACGCCTCCACAAACCAAACCTACAACAGATTAGCATTTTAGCAACCAAAATTGACTCAATTATCGACCCATAAGGCCACAATTATCCAACTTCGAACTTTCGAAGAACCCTAAAATCCTAAATTGAGTATATAGTGACAATTAATTAATTAAATTAGGTCAATGATTAAAGAAAAAGAAGATCTACCTTTGAGACTGCTTCTGTAGAGCCGTTGAGTTTTGTGGGTGGGTTTGTGTTTCGTAGGTGCTGGGTTGGGTTTCGTGGGGGTGGGGGATTTTGTGGGTGGTTTAGGTTTCGGCGATGGTGGGTTTCTGAGGAGAGAGAGGCGATGGTGGTGGACTGGTGGGTTCAGCGACGGTGCTGGCTTGGATGAATGATTTCGTGGGTGGTTAAGTTTTCGGTGATGGTGAGTTTTTGAGGACAGAGAGGCTAGATGAGAGGAGAGAGGTAGATGAGGAAATGAAAGTGAAAGAAAGAGACTGGGTTTTTTTATTTAGAAAGAGTTTTGGCACCGTTCGGTTTGAACCGGTGCGAAAAACAAACTTTTCGCACCGGTTTGGTTAGAACTTGTGCAAAAAACTAACTTTTCGCACCGGTTTGGTTAGAACTGGTGCAAAAACTCTATTTCCCAATCCCGCCTATTTTTTTTCGCACCGGTTTCCAAAAATCGGTGCGGATTGTGCGGTGCCTTTTTCATTTTTTCTACTAGTGATTATTCATAGGGGACACCACAACCTAATGCCTAAGACTTATAAAACAGAGAATTACTTTCTCCACTTTTTATGGTAAGGCCGTGTTATCTCACCTTACAAACATAAGGGCATGTTTTGTTTATCTTATTTTCACTTATTTTAGATCTAATAACTATATAAGTTTTGTTTAAAAAAGTAAGTTCTAGTAAGGGTTACCTAATTTTATACAACTAAAAAAAGGGTTAATAAGTTCAGATAATATAACATAATTTCATATAAATGAAAATAAGGTGAATAACACATAGTAGTTCAGATAATTTTCTATTAGGTCCAATAATTTAAATCAAGTTTAATAAGTCCAGTAAGACTTTTTATTTTATTATTATTATTTCTCTATTCTCATTTTTAATTCTCTAACAAACCACTATATCTATACTCATATATAAACTATTAGACCCTACAGAATACTAAGTGCGTCATAGGGACATGGCACACATGCTGATGAAAAACTTTGACCAATAATTTTTTTAATTATCAATAACTATATAAATGATAAAAATTGAATATTAATAATTTTAAAGATTCATTTTAATCATCCAAACTTTTCTTGATTTGCTTTTAATAAGCCCTACTTTTGTTTATTTTGTAATATCCGAACATTGACATGAGCTTTCCTCCATTAATCTCAACCGATCAGCAACAAGTTAATGATTTATTATAACAGATCACTTAGACACGTGCCAACAAGCAGTTGGTCTAAAATAATATAAATTTTTTAAAAAAGACAACTAGCCCCTACCCCTTCCCCTTCCCTCACCGTACACCTTAGCCCCAACCGCTAGGCAACCAGTTGCTATTTTTTACTTTTTGACTAATTAAGTTGTGACATGTGGCATTAATAACAAAAAATCAGAAATACTTGTCCTTTCATCAGGTCACTGATATTTGGTATGGTGGAGGAAACCCATGTCAAAGTTTAGATTATTATAAAATAAACAAAAATAGGGATTGTTGAAATTACATCAGGCAAAGTTTAATAGGTTTTATACGTAGTGGTCTCTGTTAGTTGCCATTATGTGGAAATTAGCTAAAAACTAGAATGTCAAGTGTTAGTCTCCCATGACTTGATTTCAATGCAATATTGTAATTAAAATATTTCAATCTACATATTACTGAAAATTATATGATCATACTATTTAGAACTTGAATTCGTAAACTATTTTAAATCAAAGCTGATTTCATACCATTTACTTGTAGTATATATTAAAATAAAGATATTTTCATACCATTTAGATACTGATTTTAACACCTAATGCCTATCTTGATTTCTTACAAAGTTTTAATGCTATTTATTTGTAATAAATTGAAACAAAACTAATTTTAAATCACCTTCTTTGTGCCGTTTTAAAATTATTTTTACAAAACTTAAATACTCTATATTGGTTCACTCTTTTTTTGGCTTATTCTAGTTAATTATACTAATCAAATGGTATTAATTTTAGTAATAATTTAATTAGACTTAATTAAATCTTATTTACGGATTAAAACTTTTTTTCACTTATACATGACTCCCAAAAATTAAAATTAATTTCAAATTTACACGGTTTTTAAAATGAAGAGAATGAGGTCGGGTTTTAATGGATGCATGCCACTTGTGAAAAGCGTAATTAATACAATATGTTTCCGTCATCGTTTCTCATGTTTAAGTCTTAGACCACTATAAAATAAATTTACTCATCCCTTATATTCTCAACTTCATTCTTTACATCTATTAACTAATAATAAAACAAAACATGCTGACATAATTTTCTCCAAAGCTGTACACATGTCGCTTTCTTATAAAAAAATTCCCACCCTAAGCTACTCTATTTTTATTGCTTTGAAAATTGTTTTAGGAATTATGACTACAAATGAAATCAAATAGATGCTTCTATAGACTACTATATAACCTGTTAATTGTTGAAAGCTAAAATAATAATTTTGAAAACTTTGGTGCTAATTGTATACATACTGTATAATGTTTTCCTTAGATTTCATTCATATGCATCCTTAAATCATTTTCATTCGACTATTCAATTATTAATTGTAAATAATGTGGTTCATATATATTATTAGTTGTAAATTATTTTTATAACAAATTCTAATCTTTATATACAATGTAATGGCTATTGTAAAAAAAAAAAAAAAAAAAAAAAAAAAATTAAAAAAATATACAATGTAATGTAATAGAACATAAGCTACAAGAAAGATTAATTTTAATTGTGCATCGCACGGAGATAACCTAGTTATTTATCAAAGAAATCCACGACCAAAAGCTACCAACAACAATAATGTTGAAACTATTGATAGCCATAATATTAACTTTAGGAGTCACAAAAATCAGCCATTATCTTACCCTTTTTCCCATCAAAATTTTAGTGAAAACAGAAAATGCAATGTGTAAGATTTTAATGTACAATACATTGGAGATGGTAGAGATTTTAGGCTTCAGCATATTCCAAAGAATGGTGAATTTAGCTTTTCATTAAAAACCAAGATTATTAAACAAATTGTCTATCTATGTAATGTCACAACTCCTAGCTTGGGTCATATAACTAAATACATCGCATTTGTAGATGACAAAAGTTTTGTAGATAATATATGTGGGGAGGCGTCATTGTAATAGGAAAGCAGCTGATGATGGGCTATACTTGTATAACCTTAAGACGACGGAAGGTATAATTCATTAGCGATGGCAAAAACCATTCTAGTGGTTACACCATCTTTGTCTAACGAATGAGTAATAATATACATGCCTTAAATTAATTAATAGACATTGATTTGATAGTAAATATGTATAGTAATCGTTTATTTTTGTATTATCTTTCTTGGTTTATGAGTCTTAAATTGTTGGTTCTCATAGCATCTTTTGGCATAAATTTCAATCATATCACATCACTATGGCTCATATATATAATAATACTAGGTAGGTTTCGTACCATGCACGATAATTTTTAGTAATTATTCTTAAATTAAAATTACATTAATAATTTGTCTAAAATATTTTAATGAAAAATTTATTATGAAAGAGCCTATTAGCCAGATAGGAATTTAGTGTTAATTAAAATTACGTTTAAATTTTAAACTATATTTGTCAATTTTTTTATTAAACAATCATTCAGTATCTTTATTTAATTTCGTAAAATTACCTGTAATACCCCTCATGATTGCTTTAAAAGGATTTGATATACTACTCATATTAACAAGTTGCATCTTCTTTTTAGGGAGCTCACATGCTAAGATACTCCACATTTAAGCGTGCTTGGCTGGGAGTAGTCTTGGGATGGGTGACCTCATGGGGAGTTTTCTCGGGGTGCACATGAGTGAGGACAAAATGCGCCGAAAGGAGTTGTGTTGGTCTGTGGGGACAGTTGTTGGCCTTTGATGCGCATTTCGTGACAATAGGCACCTCCCTAATTTGTTTGGGGTCGGGGTATTAAAAATGGTATCAGAGCAACCCTACGACCGTGTGCTGATCGTGGATAATTAATCCTATGTCAGTTGTCAATACCACTCATGATTGCTTTAAAAGGATTTGATATAATATTCATATCGATAAGATGCATCTTCCTTTTAGGGAGCTCATATGCTAAGATACTCTATAGTTAAGCGTGCTTGACTGAGAGTAGTCTTGGGATGGGTGACCTCTTGGGAAGTTTTCTCGGGGTGCGTATGAGTGATGACAAAATGCGCCGGAAGGACTTGTGTTGGTCTGTGGGGACAATTGTTGGCCCTTGATGCGCATTTCGTGACAATAGGCCCATTCCTAATTTGTTTGGGGTCGGGGTGTTAAATTACCACTAAAAAACTAAAAAAAAAAAAAGCAGAAAAAAGCTCACTAAGAATCAGTTTGTGTCATTATTGGCAAATTTATTTTAATATCCACAATTATATATTGTTGATTTGTTATAATTCCAATCATAAACTATTGAATTAAAGGAAATATATAACAATAGTATTAGTATTTGGTTGATGTTCGCATCATTTTGATTGTAGCTCCTAATTCATAATTTAATCAAAAAGGATCTAGAAAGTAAATTGGTGTTGTAATAAACGTAGTACATTACACTCCGCATGTCACAAATTATGTTAAGAATCTGTATTTTTTCCCCTTCAATTTATAGTTGTTAATATTTTTGTGGAAGGATACATCAAATCTATTATTCCAAGTAATTTTTAATATTTGATAATCTAGTTAGTTTCTTGGATATACTATAGTTTAATAATAAAAAAAAAAATTTAAGAAAATAAACTTGTTGTAATAATTGTAGTACATAACACTCTATATGTCCCAAATTATATTAAAAGTCTAATTTTTTTTATTATTTAAATTTATGTAATAGTCCATATATATTATGGAATGATATATCAAATATTTTATTTATGTAAAAGTATGCTATAGTTTATTTATGTATAAGATTATTTGTTTCCTAAATTGATTTTTTTTTAAAAATAAAAAATTAAGGGATATATTAGGAAATGACACGTGTCATTGTTGATGTGTCTTTTAGTATATATTATTATTGTATTATATTGACAAAGAAAATAAGGGTATCAAATAAAATAATTATAATGACAATAAATTTGACCAAAAAATTATATAAAATATTATAAATAGACTCAGTATTAAAAATATGAAATATATGTGAAATAAAATAATTAAATATGTGATAGTTATAAGGAAAATTTGTTAAAAAAAGACTTTTAAATGCATCATTTTGCCAAAAAAAAATTTTAAAAGCTTTATCGTAAAAAAAAAACCCGAAGTTAATTTTTTTTTTTTTTTAAAACAACCTAGTAGCACTAATTTCATTAATTAACTGCTAATCCCTTTTAATTACTCTTTAACTCTTACTTAACTATTTAATAATTAAATTAATTTATAAATTAAAAAAATAAGAGAGAAAACCACCACCCCACCACCAGTCAACCACC